GTGTGAGAGTGTGTGTGTGAGTGTGTGTGTGTGTGTGTGTGAGAGTGAGAGTGAGTGTGTGTGTGTGAGTGTGTGTGAGTGTGTGTGTGAGAGTGTGTGTGTGAGTGTGTGTGTGTGTGTGTGTGAGAGTGAGAGTGAGTGTGTGTGTGTGAGTGTGTGTGAGTGTGTGTGTGAGAGTGTGTGTGTGAGTGTGTGTGTGTGTGTGTGTGAGAGTGAGAGTGAGTGTGTGTGTGTGAGTGTGTGTGAGTGTGTGTGTGAGAGTGTGTGTGTGAGTGTGTGTGTGTGTGTGTGTGAGAGTGAGAGTGAGTGTGTGTGTGTGAGTGTGTGTGAGTGTGTGTGTGAGAGTGTGTGTGTGAGTGTGTGTGTGTGTGTGTGTGAGAGTGAGAGTGAGTGTGTGTGTGTGAGTGTGTGTGAGTGTGTGTGTGAGAGTGTGTGTGTGAGTGTGTGTGTGTGTGTGTGTGAGAGTGAGAGTGAGTGTGTGTGTGTGAGTGTGTGTGAGTGTGTGTGTGAGAGTGTGTGTGTGAGTGTGTGTGTGTGTGTGTGTGAGAGTGAGAGTGAGTGTGTGTGTGTGAGTGTGTGTGAGTGTGTGTGTGAGAGTGTGTGTGTGAGTGTGTGTGTGTGTGTGTGTGAGAGTGAGAGTGAGTGTGTGTGTGTGAGTGTGTGTGAGTGTGTGTGTGAGAGTGTGTGTGTGAGTGTGTGTGTGTGTGTGTGTGAGAGTGAGAGTGAGTGTGTGTGTGTGAGTGTGTGTGAGTGTGTGTGTGAGAGTGTGTGTGTGAGTGTGTGTGTGTGTGTGTGTGAGAGTGAGAGTGAGTGTGTGTGTGTGAGTGTGTGTGAGTGTGTGTGTGAGAGTGTGTGTGTGAGTGTGTGTGTGTGTGTGTGTGAGAGTGAGAGTGAGTGTGTGTGTGTGAGTGTGTGTGAGTGTGTGTGTGAGAGTGTGTGTGTGAGTGTGTGTGTGTGTGTGTGTGAGAGTGAGAGTGAGTGTGTGTGTGTGAGTGTGTGTGAGTGTGTGTGTGAGAGTGTGTGTGTGAGTGTGTGTGTGTGTGTGTGTGAGAGTGAGAGTGAGTGTGTGTGTGTGAGTGTGTGTGAGTGTGTGTGTGAGAGTGTGTGTGTGAGTGTGTGTGTGTGTGTGTGTGAGAGTGAGAGTGAGTGTGTGTGTGTGAGTGTGTGTGAGTGTGTGTGTGAGAGTGTGTGTGTGAGTGTGTGTGTGTGTGTGTGTGAGAGTGAGAGTGAGTGTGTGTGTGTGAGTGTGTGTGAGTGTGTGTGTGAGTGAGTGTGTGTGTGTGTGAGTGTGTGTGTGGGTGAGTGTGAGTGTGTGTGTGTCAGGCTGGAGCAGATATGTGCTGATGAGTTCCTCACGGTGGCAGGCGGTGTGTTTGCGCTGCAGTGCTGTGGTGTAGCGGCCCTCTGACCTGCTGGGTAAACAACCAGAGAGTCTCTGACTCCAAATAAGGCCAACACATCCACAGCACAGAGCAGTGGCAACCTGCCATCCTCCACACACGCACACACACACACACACTCACACGTCTCCTGAGTTCCCCTTTCTTTCCGTTATTGTCTTTCTGAAGCCCGCCTGCTCTCTTCGCGTGGTTTATGAAATGAAAATCCTGTCATCATTTATTCACCCTCATGTCACTCCAAACCCAACGAATTCTTTCTTCTGTAAAACACAAAATTAGATATTTAGCAGAATGTTCATGCTGCTCATTTCCAACAAATGCATATAGTGACCATGGCAGTCACATTTCAGACCATAAAAATGCACCATAAAAGAGTTTGAAATGTAGTCCATATGACTTGTGCACTCTATTTAAAGTCATATAATAGATTTGTATGTTCGTTATTGGCATTTGTATACATTCAAATCTTGCACAGGAACATATTACACTAACAGTGACATCATTGATGGTTGATTACACTAAGGTCAGGGTTACAAATGTCTACTAATACTAAAACTATTAAATATTTTTGTTAGTTAAAATAAAGCTGAAATAAAATATAAATTATGACTATTAGATGGAAAATGTATTAACTTATTTCAATTAATTGCCAAAGCAACTAATAACATATACAGAGGCTCATAAAATGACAAAAAAAATTAAATTATAAAAATAAAAGCTTCAAAGTATGAATAAAATATGAATAAAAAACAATACAAAATAACACTGTATTACACTAATTTAAATATGTAAATGACGTTTGAGAACTGATATATTCTAATCATAACGAATCATAGTTTAATAATAATTCATTTTTAATATTTTAATAATAAATTATTTGGTTTGTCTCTAAGCTTTTGTATAATTTTTAAAAACTTGGAATATGCAAGATCTGTATAGACTAATTTGATACTTACGTACAGTCACTCTATGGTTGTTTTTGTATGGAAAAGAGGAAAAATCTGCTCTAAATCTCCTTTTGTGTTCCTTGGAAGATAGAAACCCGCCTGGCTTTGAAACGACTTGAGGGTGAGTATGTTTTTAGGTAAACTATTTCCAAACCCATTCTCCTCCTCTACCTGACTTTCCTTTTCTTTCAGTCTCTTTGGCACCATCTGAAACGCACTGCCTCGGTGCTTCTGCACCTCATAATACGCATGTTGTTTGGTTTTCGCTTTTAGTTCTGTTAAATGCTATTGCCTTTTTAGTCCTTTAAGAGTCTGCTGTTATCCTGCAGAGAAACAGACCACAGGCATCCTTGAGTGTCTTATTTCACATTTTAGACACATCCCCTTGTTTCACTGACCGTTGACTACAAAAAGCACAGTACATCTCTAGCCGTTTTAGCATTTGAACCTGCTCTCCCTCTGCTCCTGTGAGGGAGGAATGACCTACCTTTGCATCTTTTGAAAAACAGTCATATTCTCCTTCGTTCAAAAGCGACAAGACGGTCACGTTTAATATTTATGATAGCGAGCACGAATGACCTCTCCTTTCACTGTGAATGTATAGACCCCTTTGTGTGTGTGTGTGTGTCTGTGTATGTGTGTGTGTGAGGACTGTCTGTAATGAATTCATAATGTCTGCAGTGGGTCTTTGTAGATTCCTAGCAAGCAGCAGATAAGACAGCGCAGTTGCACTCTAATAGCTGTCAGTCTGCTTTCCTTCCTGACTATGGATCAGTTCACTTTCAGTAGACAAATATACACATACTGTATACACACACACACACACACACACACAAGATGGGCTGTGTATTCAGAAGTATGTTCTCCGCACAGTGGGTCTAAAGATAAAAGATGCTGCATTTTCTGTCGATGGAAAGACTGCATTTCTGTAGCATGTTGAAAGGAGGTCCCCCAAGGCTCTGTAAAAGGCCCCCTACAATTGATGGGATTTCCCCCCAAAACTTGACAAGCGGCAGCCCCCATCGTTTTTCTCTGCCATCAAACATGCCCAAAGTTTTGAAAGCACCTCAGACAGGCAAGTTTTTTTTTTTTTTAGAAGGAAGCTTTAAAGTTGCCTCAGAAAAACAGCCATTAAATACAGTGCAATCTTCTGTGCCCTGAAGCTATTCATGGAAGCTATTAAAAATTATTGTGACACTAAACAGTGCTTTGTGAGTTAATGATGTTTGTTTATTAGCTCCACATATGCTAAACTGAATTAAACTTTGTGTATTGCTTTGCTTGGTTGCTGAAACCTGTTATTCAAGTGCTTATCTTTTGAAAAACATCATTTTGTGGGTATAATGAAGCTATATTTAGCAGATCCTCAGTTCTAATGCACCAAGTTTTGACCTAATTATGTGTCTAACTACATTTTGGATCTAAAAGAACAGTCAGTCGTACGATAACGGCATAAAAATATGAATTGTCTGCTTTATCAAGTTCTACACTGGTCCACACACTAAAATAGCAGAGGAAAACACTTCCAGTATAAAATGCTCATTATGGTCTTATGGATTGGCCATGTGGAGTGGTAAGTGATCTTTATCATTTCCCCCAGCATCCTCAAATGATTCTTCAGCCCAGCTGAAATTTACCACGCTAAGCTCTCAGCCACCAGGAGGACGTGGGATGTGCTATAGTGTTTGATTTATAAGCCTGATTAAACTAGGCATGTGTGAGTAAGAAACATGAGGCAAATCAAAACAAAATCACAGCAACGCTTTACGTGGCTTTCCCGCTGATTGGGACTTGGCTCTTTATGATGGTAAAGATCACAATGGCCCTTAAATAAAGAGAAAAATGCGTGTAAACAATACTCCAGGGCGTCTCTATAAAGGATGAGTTATTGCACTAAGCCTTTGTTCATTGTTTTGCTGTAATAGGAGCAGCCCTTTAACTTACGGTGTGTCAACACAGTATGTATTGTGATACTTATTTTATTCGTTCATCATTTATTTTCATGAATAAAACAGATGCTGTCTCTGATAAACACCCAGTGATGCATTTTTTTTCCAGTACTTTTGAAATTCATAAGAATTTGAATACTCCTTACATAATACCCTTTGGTTTTTTCGAATGCAAATTACTGTTGGACCCTTCCCAGTTTTCCTTAAATCATAAAATGTTTCTCATTTTAGGCACATCTCTTCCTTACAGACTAAAGTAAATAGTTTTTTTAATTGTTATCATGTGCAATGTAAAAATAGTAAGTCTGATTTTTGAAATAATCATTAAAAATAAAAAAAATAAAATAAATATGCAGGGATAATGTAAAGTCAGTCTGCCATTATCTCAAAATAAATAGCTGGCACACAGCAGAATCAATAAACAAGGACAAAAAAAATAATGCTCTAAGATTATATAATATTGTAATTATATAATATTAATATTATTTTTATTATATTAATCGTCATTATTAATATAATAAAACATAATTGTATTATTTTATACATGTAATTTTAGATTCTACTAAGAAAAACGTTCAAATAAAGTTCAAATAAAAAAATAATCCAGCAGTCTTCTTATTTTGGAGGTGGGATGGTTTTAGTGAGGGTTTCAAATGACAGAATCTCATCTGTGCGCGTTTATTCACTACGGAGAGGTGACGTGAGCACGCAGAGGCCTCCCTCCGCCTGCTGCGCTGTTTTTGGGGAGCGGGAGAAAAGGGGGGGCTAAAGAAACCCCCACCAAACTGCCCCTACCCCCAGTCTAAGTCCGGGACCTGAAAGAAAAGAATCCGATCCAGCTCTGGGACGCGGTGGAACGACTATCCACCGACATTTAAAGCTCGTTTTATAACGCGTTTCTGGAGTTTCGTGCGCTCTTGGAGAGTTTACGCACGGACGCCGTCGACATGGCACGGATAACTGTTTTGTCCGGTTGAAAACTTCGCGTATCCAAGGTGTTATTTGGATTTTTCCCCCTCCTGTTTTATATGGATGCAGCATAGGACGCTTTTAAGGGGAATTATATGGTCGTACCGCTTCTGCATCGATCCGAAATAAAGTTACTTGGACGCGCGTGGAACTATTGTAAGTAAATTAGTTTTTTCAAATTGTCATTTTAAAACGTAAAATCATTCGTGCATTCTTTCAGCAACTTTTTTAGACAATGTCTAATCTTTAGATAAAATTATTTAGAGATTTTCTTGATGTCGCTGTAATCGCATTGTGTATATCGAAATGTTTTTGTGTGTTATGTGCAGTTTTTGCAACATAAATTGTAGTAATTGAGTCTTAGCGGTTTTGATGGCTTGTTAGGCTGTTGTTTTCCTCATGTAACGTTCTGCTTGGGGTCTTTGGGACACTTTCAATAGTTTAAAAACTTCATGACTTTTTCAGGTCTTATGAGTGATTATAAACAAATTTGGTAACATTTTTCAATAGAGGACGTTTTAAATGTTGCATTTATTTAGTTTGATTGGATCTCTAAGACCCAAAGTATAAAAATGATGAAATGCATTGAATTGTCACATTGTGGATGTTCACTTTTGCCATTATGGATTTATTTTATTGTAATTTTTCTTGAAGTGTCAACATGACCCTAATCAGAAGCAACCATACTACATTTGGGAAGTTGTCACATTTTTCTGAAAAGTGCGTGCTTGCTTTGTGATGCAGGTTAATGCTTCATTAATATCTGTGAATTTGGCTTTTGGTTGAGTTGTGGGAATGCGTTGTGAACAAAAAAGGTTTATTTAGTAAAATGGATGCTAATATTTTTCAAGGTCTCTGAGAATTTGAACGCAAAGACAGTAAAATCAAACCCAGATAATGAGGAAAATTGGAAAGTAACTTTCTGGAGGTTTAAAGTAATGGATTCATTGACATTTGCTGCAAATGCGGAGTTTATAGAGTAGAAAATAATATATTACACATTTGCATTTTGGTTTTGAATAGAAAGCATGAAAAGTCATTATTGTAGAGAATATTGATTCTATTCACCGAGTGTCTTTCTTGCAAAGCTATTATATTGAGGATTTTGTCTATTTTCCTGGCAGATAAATGCTTGTCTATAAGTTATGCTTTCTTTCAGCTAAGTTGTGCCATGGCCTGCTGAATATAGCAGTTTAAAGTTTACTGTCATTTGAAACATTACATACGTTCATATATTAAAGGTTTTAGTGAGACTGAAGCATAAAAGCATAGTGCAGGTATTGTCTTGATTCGTTTAGTCACAGACAATGCAGGGGTCATTAATCAGTTTAATGTGACTTCAGGGGCCCCGTATCAAAATGAGTCTGGACTGAAGTACTCTGGTTCTTCTTTTGAGAAAAGTTTGGCTTAACGGTTCACTTTGATCTCCAAGAAATTTAGATTTAGACTTTGTTGACGTCTCATCCAATAAGTCTGATAGTAAAGATCTACTCTAGGAGTTACTCGAGAAGGACAGCCATCATTGATCCTTTCATGAAATACGTACAAGCTTTTTGAGCATTAATGGCAAAAACGTGTTTGTTTTCACAGTCTTTGTTCTGTGATGCAAACTCACAAGTGTGCTTTAGTTTCTAAATGCCACTATAATTGGACAATTTATCATAGCTGATCACTGTCAGATCTTGAGAGATGTTAAGACAAATGCGTAGGAATGCAGCCAAACAGAAGCCGTTAGCCGTGACTGTGGTCTATAGACCTGTAGTTTCGCTCATTTTTCTTTTGCGGCTAAACAATAACAAACAAGAAATCAATGAAGTCTGGTTGTGTCAGAATGAAGGAATTTTTCAGCAGATGTAAAAACTTCGTTTGCCGAACTAACTTTGATTTCCCGTGTGCACTCTGTGTCACCTCTGGACGAAAAGTTAATTGAATTGAGCTGAGGATATGAGTTCTGGTGAAATGTCTTTTGTAAGGTGTCTTCCCTAAGGTTTTGAAATTCATTTCTGCGAAGCTATTCCTTCTGGTGTCGTTTTTTGTGTTTTCCTACACTTATCGCTGTAACCTTTTTCCCCATTTTAAACAGGGATCAAAGGACAATGCCTCAGAGAGATTCTGGACATGCTATGCCAAAATAAATATTCTTCCGACTTCAGAGAGAAGAGAAGGGCAGCGCTCTTGCATTTGCGTGCATTACAGATTTAGCCTTCTGTTTATGTGAGCTAGAGTAGCTAATGATCACTCTAAATATAAAGTGTGCCATGCTTTAATGAGCAGGCAATTTTCTATTTCAATAAGGCAAGAGGCAGAAAGTCTTTTGAATATTAATTTCCTGCAAGAAATGTCCAACAGTCATACAGTCAGTCATACAGATTGGCTGCAGAGTGCGACAAAAGAAGGAACACTTAAACTCAGCATGTATACCCTAATAAAACCAGGATGCTTCTATCTCATCCAATCATAATGCATATTCAACCTATGTGTCCATTTAAGGTGTCCAACTAGCCTATGTCCCCTAGATGCATTTCTGAGTAATGCAAATTATTTTCTTAGAAGCTAGGTATAAAATAGCATTTCTTGTCTCATGTTTGTCTTGCACACACACACACACACACACACACATTAAATACTTTTCCTGTTATCTCTCAGCTCATCAAAAACTCAAGCATATTGATGATGAAGCATTCTATAGTAGAGTAAAGAAAAAAAATTTCAGATAATAATACAATTTCCTCCACAAGCAGTATCTTTCTTGAATTTAGTTTTCTTTTAGCATTAGAGATCATATATCACTTCCTACTGTACACAAAGAGTCATTTTATTGAATAGTGTTGCGCACAGCCTTGTATTCAATGGCGCCGTGGATAGATTTAATGCAGGAAATGCTAATGGAGTGGCAGAAATATCAAAACAACAATTATGCAAAAAGCTCCCTCTCACGATGGTTATTGTAACCCGTGTGTGCCAATGTGATCGTAGTCATAGATAAATTTAGGTGAGTTTGTGTAGAAGCGAGAGCAGTGCAATTATCAGCTTGGGTTTTGAATGGCAGATGCAGTGGTGGCGGTAATGGCAGCTGCGCTGGAGCTCCTCACATTATCAGCAGAAAAGGGAGGGGAAGAGAGATGTTCACCAGTGCCTAAGCTCTGCCAGCTAATTGTGTTTATTCCCCTTAATTTGTCCCGAGTGCTAAATCGGTGCTCTTCAGCTCATAGTGGGTGCAATTTGTCTGGTGGTTATAAAAGAATGAGTGCAGTGTCTTTGAAACGAGCTCTTTTGGTCTTAATGCGACTGTCTCATGCATCCACATGCACGTCCAAGCAGAAGGAGCCAAGGCCTCTCTGTTCAGCCACGGTTGCCGCCTTACTCTACAACCCAGGGGACAACCGGTCAGTCTGGCGGAATTATCCAGCACTTGTTCAGACGAGTTCCTGAGTAAATCGCAACATTGTCCATGACAAGCCTTGTTGAAGATGAGGAATAGCCTCTGCTGGTAAATTATATTAACTCTCTGGCCTATGTTGCCCATTCTGTCCAACAGGTTAACGGCAAATCCAAGATAAGACGCCAAGCAACCCACTCCTGCTGACGGGATTGATCCATCTCGCTGAAAGTTTAATTTCATCTCACGCTTGGCTGGTTGCCTACGTGACGCTGCAGGACTGATCATCCGGTCTCTGGGCTCTCAGTACTGCGGCGGTGCTGATAAAGCCAAAAGCTACTACCTTCTCCCCACTCACCCTAGCAAGGCCTAAGCTTAAAGCCCTCACCGCAAGACTGGATTTCAAACCAATGATATGCTCCGCTTGTTCTAATGCCACTGTGATAATGTGTTCATTACGGTAGAAGGGTGTTACATCCGTGTTATACCCGCCATCCAACCTCCACCCCTCTCTCTAGCCTCGATATGTTTGGTCATTTTATTGGGGGCACTTGTTGTTTACCCCCCACCATGGTGATTTTTCTGCTTTCTGCTCTTTAAGTATGATGACCAGCTGGCACTCCGGGTTGATGGGCGTCCCGCCCAGCTTTAGACAATGCAGATCTGTCATAAACACGCCTCACCTTGGCTTCAGTCTGAGTTATGACCCCTCCGAGGGTTGTGGAGACCCGTCCCCACCCTGTTCTCCATGGCTGGAGGTCAAGATGCCATCTGTGATTGGTCTACTTATTCTCCACTTTGGCTCGGTAGTTTACAGACCCCAATGAACCAGATTAAAGGGTTGGATCTTTGTTTGATAGACTTGGAGTGTTTATGACCTTTCTCTGGGGCAACTCCAATTGGACTCCAAAATACCTTCAAGTCATTAAGTGGAACCAAATCAATAAAGACAGTGAATCCAAGGTAGATTCCTCTTGAATATCTTAAATATCCCATTTTCCAAATGTCCTGGTACTAGCTTAGTGATGTGTGCTGGTTTAAGATGGTTATCAGGGGTCTTGCTTGGTGAAGCGTAGGAATTTGTTGGGGCATAGACAGGATGCTGGTTCGGTAGGCCTACGGCAGGTTTTGTTTGGGACCAAGTAGAGTTGAAGGGGTTTATAGTGACCCTATAGAAATCTCAGGGCCCAGTTAAGGGGGCAGTTTTCAGGATGAGGGGCTTTTTCATGTGCTAAAAGCTGCTAATCCGCTGCCCTTTGTATGGGAGCAGAAAGCTCGGGGCAATATGGGAAAGCCTTGGCTTTTTCAGAGCCCGGCCTTTTGTTGTCATTTCGCCCAAATCAGGGACATCTGTTAGGATCGGGGGTAGATTCCCAGCTGACGGAGGGGAACGGGGTTGGAGGAGGAGGAGGAGGAAAGGACAAGATACATTGGTGGGGGTGGGAATGTTTGAGGGCTGATGAATGTGTGTAATTGTTTGTAATGCAAGCATGAAAACACGGGCCTCTGGGAGCTGAAGCCGTATTTGTATGCGTGTGGACAGAGGGGCCTTGTAGTTATGAAACAGTCAGTCAAGGGTAGATGGGGTTAAACACAAGTAAATACCTGCCTGTCAATGCAAGCCATGCTCCCTTAATTAGGAATGACATAATGGTTTGACAGCAGAGAAACGGAGAGAGCTATAGCCTCTAACTAGCACAAATGTCAACATGTGATTAAGCTCTGTTGGAAACTCATTACATTCCTGAAACGCGGCTCTGTTTTTCAATAAAAATCA